TGTGCCGTTGAAAGCGTTTAATATCTCGTTTGAAAGATATTACCTAGTTCTAAAACTTGTCTTCAGGCGCTGGTTTCAAAAAATCAAGTGATTATTGCCTAATTACTGAAATACACTGTATTTACGCTAAAAGTGCTCTATTTTAGCTGAAAACGCTAAATCATAGAGATAAGGCTAAGTATTTGTGACACTCATATCCTGCTGTGTGTTTATCCGTTTGGGGCGTATTATATCACGTTGGAAAGATAGATCTGAGCTCTAAAGCTATTGTTCCAACTTCATTTACAATGCATTAATTAAAAGTTACAGATTAACCATATATAAACAAATCTTTCTGATTTCACTTTGAACTCGTGTAGAATTTGATGCGATCATATATTGCTCTATTTTGTGCCATTGAAAGCGTTTAATATCTCGTTGGAAAGATCTTACCAAGTTCTAAAACTTGTCCTCAGGCGCTGATTTCAAAATAGCAAGGGATGATTTCCTAATTACTAAAATACACTGTATTTACGCTAAAAGTGCTCTATTTTCGCTGAAAACGCTAAATCATAGAGATAAGACTAAGTATTTGTAACACTCATATCTTGCTGTGTGTTTATCCGTTTGGAGCGTATTATATCTCGTTGGAAAGATAGATCGGAGATCTAAAGCTATTGTTCCAACTTCATTTACAATTCATTAATTAAAAGTTACAGATTAACCATATATTCTCAAATGTTTCTGATTTCACTCCGAACTCGTGTAGAATGTGATGCGATCATATCATGCTCTATTTTGTGCCGTTGAAAGCGTATAATATCTCATTGGAAAGATATTACCGAGTTCTAAAACTTGTCTTCAGGCTCTGGTTTCAGAATATCAAGGTATGATTGTCTAGTTACTAAAATACACTGTATTAACGCTAAAAGTGCTCTATTTTCGCTGAAAATGCTAAATCATAGAGATAAGGCTAAGTATTTGTAAAACTCATATCTTGCTGAGTGTTTATCCGTTTGGAGCGTATTATATCTAGTTGGAAAGATAGATCGGAGCTCTAAAGCTATTGTTCCAACTTCATTTACAATGCATTAATTAAAAGTTACAGGTTAACCATATATTCACAAATGTTTCTGATTTCACTCTGAACTCGTGTAGAATTTGATGCGATCATATCGTGCTCTATTTTGTGCCGTTGAAAGCGTTTAATATCTCGTTGGAGAGATCTTACCGAGTTCTAAAACTTGTGTTCAGGCGCTGGTTTCGAAATTTCAAGGGATGATTGCCTAATAACTAAAATACACTGTATTTACGCTAAAAGTGCTCTATTTTCGCTGAAAACGCTAAATCATAGAGATAAGGCTAAGTATTTGTGACACTCATATCCTGCTGTGTGTTTATCCGTTTGGGGCGTATTATATCTCGTTGGAAAGATAGATCTGATCTCTAAACTATTGTTTTAACTTCATTTACAATGCATTAATGAAAAGTTACAGATTAACCATATATAAACAAATGTTTCTGATTTCAGTTTGAACTCGTGTAGAATTTGATGCGATCATATATTGCTCTATTTTGTGCCATTGAAAGCGTTTAATATCTCGTTGGAAAGATCTTACCAAGTTCTAAAACTTGTCCTCAGGAGCTGGTTTCAAAATAGCAAGGGATGATTTCCTAATTACTAAAATACACTGTATTTACGCTAAAAGTGCTCTATTTTCGCTGAAAACGCTTAATCATAGAGATAAGACTAAGTATTTGTGACACTCATATCTTGCTGTGTGTTTATCCGTTTGGAGCGTATTATATCTCGTTGGAAAGATAGATCGGAGATCTAAAGCTATTGTTCCAACTTCATTTACAATTCATTAATTAAAAGTTACAGATTAACCATATATTCTCAAATGTTTCTGATTTCACTCCGAACTCGTGTAGAATGTGATGCGATCATATCATGCTCTATTATGTGCCGTTGAAAGCGTATGATATCTCGTTGGAATGATCTTACCGAGTTCTAAAACTTGTCTTCAGGCTCTGGTTTCAGAATATCAAGGGATGATTGCCTAGTTACTAAAATACACTGTATTTACGCTAAAGGTGCTCTATTTTCGCTGAAAACGCTAAATCATAGAGATAAGGTTAAGTATTTGTGACACTCATATCTTGCTGTGTGTTTATCCATTTGGAGCGTATTATATCTCGTTGGAAATATACATCGTGGCTCTGAAGCTATTGTTCCAACTTCATTCACAATTCATTAATTAAAAGTTACAGATTAACCATATATTCACAAATGTTTCTGATTTCACTCCGAACTCGTGTAGAATTTGATGCGATCATATCATGCTCTATTTTGTGCCGTTGAAAGCGTTTAATATCTCTTTGGAAAGATCTTACCGAGTTCTAAAACTTGTCTTCAGGCGCTGGTTTCAAAATATCAAGGAATGATTGCCTCATTACTAAAATACACTGTATTTACGCTATAAGTGCTCTATTTTCGCTGAAAACGCCTAATCGTAGAGATAAGGCTAAGTATTTGTGATACTCATATCTTGCTGTGTGTTTATCCGTTTGGAGCGTATTATATCTCATTGGAAAGATAGATCGGATCTCTAAAGCTATTGTTCAACCTTCATTTACAATGCATTAATTAAAAGTTACATATTAACCATATATTCACAAATGTTTCTGATTTCACTCCGAACTCGTGTAGAATTTGATGCGATCATATATTGCTCTATTTTGTGCCGTTGAAAGCATTTAATATCTCGTTGGAAAGATCTTACCGAGTTCTATTTTTTTTTTTGGATAAAATGTAAATATATATATATCCAAAATGTTTATGTACAACTGTACAGTCCCAAAAGACTCAAAAACAAGGTCATCCCAAGAAAGGATACCCTATCACCTCACAAAACCTCATCTAGCTACATATACATGCTAGCCATCACAAAAACCGGTGACGAAACAGCAAAAAGAGAGTTTAGAATGTTATCCTATCAAACGGGTACATAGCATAGAGAATTTTGTACACCATGAACTTAATGTTCTTAACCATGTCCTCCACTTTCGGTTGGATCTTCTCAAAGCATGTCATGTTCCTTGTACGCCATATCCAATAAACGGTGTAGCAAAAAGCAATTCTGACTCCTTTGGCCTTTGCATGCGCTCCATTGTGCTCTTTCTTTATCCATTTAGCTGTACTCAACAATGTGCTCATCCTCCTCGAGAGTCCAAGCCAATTCTTCATCGAAGTCCAAACCTGTCCTGTAAAAGTGCATTCAAAATATAGGTGTGGCACCGTTTCCGGGCCACCCTTACAAAAAAGACAAGCATCATTGATATCTAAAAACCCCAAGTTGTCATATGTGGCTAACCGACCACGGAAGGCTAGCCAAGTAATGAACGAGAACTTGGGGGGAATGTAGTTCTTCCAAATAAAAGACATCCAAGGATGGGCATTCCCTTTGATTCTCAATAAGTCATATACCTTAGAGGAAGGGAGTTTCCCATTAAGGGAACTCTTTTCTAGGTAATTCACGGCCACCCCTACAGAAGGGAATTTGGACAGAATCAAATCCCGGACATTTGCCAATGCCTTCATAAGTCTAGAGTCCTTCGTGTGTGGAACAAAGGTCCACACACACCTCCCCTGGAGATAGACTCCATGGACCCACCACTACTAGAAAAAGGATTTTTAACGACCACTATATAACGACGATTCTTACAAATCGTCGTAAAAAGTATCCTTTAACATCAACTAATATGTCTGTCGTTACTAAATTTATTATTAACGACCATATTAAAATATGTCGTTGTTTACTCAGTATATGGTCATCGTTGTTTCTGATTTATATTTAATCATGATTTTGTAAATTAAATACTTAGAAATGAAAATAAGATGAAGTTACATTTTGTCAACCCAAAAGTTTAGGCTCCCTTTTAACTTCTACATTGTGAAAGGCATTAACCCTAACACATCCCTCGTAGCGCATCAGATTTTCTCAGAGCTCGTCGCTCCGTTGTCGCTCGGTCTCCTCTTGCCGCTCGTTCGTCGCTCGGTCGCCACTTGCCCGTTGGTCTTCGTCACTCGTTTCTTGCCGCTCGGTCATCGCTCGGTCGCCTCTTGCCGCTCGCTCAACCCTGACCTTAATTCTCTTGTTCTTTTAGAAAATCGCACTTCTCCAGGTAAATGAAATCTCTAAAATTGTAATTCGAGTTTTGTTCAAGACATTTTTCGGCCAATTTATTGGGTTACTGCATAAACTACTTTTAAAATCATCAATTAGCAGATTTGCTTAAAAACTACAACTTTAATCTGCTTCTTTTAGTCTCCATTTTTTGTTTCTCGAACAATATGTCATTTTCGAGGTTATCTGTTCTCTAGACTCTAATGACTTCACTCTGTTCATGCCTTTTTGTTTAAGGTAATTTTGAACTTTACTCGTTAATCTTCTAATTTACTCTTATGATTTTTCAGCAATCTATTGTATTATCTATTTTAAATTTTGAAATCACTGCATAACTTATGAATTTTTTTGTTTAATAGTTTAGTGTGACACGATGGTTAGTAAAATTGTACAGTTTTGAGCACACATAATTTATCAATTTAATCGTGCAATGCTTTGAGTTGTGTGTATATGGTTTAACTGGTTTCACCTTTTGTTGATGTATGAATTGGTTTTTGAAAATAATTTGATCTCTTTTTTGTTTTACTGATTTCATCTTTTGTTGGTTTATGAATTGTTTTTTGAAATTTATTTGGTTTCTTTTTGGTTTTACTAGTTTCTACATTTTTACTTTCTCTTTTTACTGGTCAACGTGTTTACATGCCCTGCACTTCAAGATAATCACATACGGAGTATGAGTGAACATCTGGGAATAAAATAAATGTATACTTGTTTGCCTATTATGATAAATACTTGTTTTCCTTAAAAGGATGCTAGTTCAAAGGAATTTAACATATACCATATGAGAGTGTATTGTAAATTTAACATTATTAAGGAGTACGATGTTCCTAACTTGCATATATTATAAATGGAGCTTGACAAAGACATAAAGAAGGGGCCAAACTTGAAGTGAAAAAATCCAAGTGGTCCCTAAAACTAATTTGAATTACCCAACCAACTCCATGTCTTATGTTCTCTGTTAGTTTATATCACATATAAGATGGCAAAGGAGGATCCTATATCCATTCCTAGGGGTATTGCTAATGTTTCTATGTATAATCTTTTGGTAGTTGTGATTTCTGCTATATGTTTTACTTTTTTGTTGAACGCTCCAGGAAACATTGGTTGGACAGACTCATACCTAAGAGAGAGAATTAGGGGAAAGCTGACCTTCAATGTAGCACTTTTCACAATCAAGAAGGTTTTTTTTGGTTTGTTCAAGCAAAATATGCAATCTTTAAGAGAACCCTTGGTACATTTCACTTCGTATAATGTTTCCTTTAAGAGAACCCCTGGTGCAATCTTTTGGTTTTTGCACATTTAATATTCAAAAATTTGATTTTTCTTTTCTTTTCACAATTGTACAATTTTAGCCTTTCAGGAAATATGGAGATCACACTTGCACTTTGTGCCTACAATATAGTTTCTGTTTCTTCACAGATAGTATATGGCAGAAAATTTCCATTGCTGAGAGACAACTATTTAAAAAGTAAGCTTTCTTATGTATATAATGAGCCGATTGAGTATCTCATTACAAAAGAGGCTTTACAATAGCAGTTTACTCATTGGTCGATAAGAATTACTATTAAGTGCATTTCCTAGGCAAAAGAAAAAACACTTAACCTACATGTGTAAAGGCTTATATACTATTGTATAATCTTGTTTAATAATTAATTTTATTTGACAGTTCCCAATGCATTTGTGCATCATTCTTCCAATCATGTATGTGGTGTTTTGGTTTCCCTCAATCGGTGATCAAGCGTTTAACGACATCAAGTAAATATTAACAGTTTGACACTTCATGCAGTTTTCCTACTTTACTAATTACATTTTATTATTATTGGTTATTTTTTATTCGGACATCAAATATTATTGTTTTGAGTATTCACTATGATTTTCCTCCGTAGTGTACATTTAAGTATTTGTTTGAATTTACAGAGTACTTTGGGTCTATATCTTACATCTTCTTCTGCCAATTGTTCTATTTACAGTTTCATTGTGTAAAGTTCAATCACAGTAGTTAAAAATTGTAATTAAATTTTGAAGACTAATGATGTTTCTTTCACACATTTGTAGGTTGTTCAAAGAAACTACAGTCTAGGGTAGGACTTCAGCAAATCGAAACAAATCTACAAAAGTGATGCAAAGAAACAGAGAAGTGTGTGTGTGCCGTGAGATGAATGTGAAACCATTCTAGCCTTTTCTCTTCTTGAACCGTTTACAGGTATGTTCTGCTGCTCATTGATGATTGAGATTTTTTTTTTTGGATTTGGAGCAAAAAGTTTTCCATGCGCACCCGCAGATATTAGAACCGTAGAAGGAATAAGCTTCTTCCGAGGGAGAGAGTCGATCGTCTTCTCGACCCTGGTTCTTCTTTCCTAGAGCTTTCTCCAGTTAATAATGCCATCTCTACTTCAATTTTTATTTTATATCTCCGACATTTTGTAACCGCTAGGTAAAATATAAACAATTGGTACCGAATTCAATAGACGACAAATAGTAAAGTTGTTATCCATTTTGGTAAATCGGTTTTTATGTGAATGAAATGCAGTTTGCAGGTCACGAATTATATGAAGAAAATTACATTCGGGTGGAAGTGAATTCGATGAATTCAAAAAGCTATACGGCACTACACTTGTAACAGAATATTACGGGATTTATGGTTGGCTCTAAATCAGAAGCAAATGGTACGACAAAAGCTGGAGCGGAAGTGGTGATGGCAGTTTCTTGTGCAAAGGTCCCTAAAATAACTGTGGGTGTTGGTGCAAAGGTCCCTAAAGTTGTTTATGTTCTGGTTCATATGTAAAATATATTTGTTGATCGTTTAATTTATTGGAAGATTAAATAGTTGATATATATGATTGCTCAATGCACAAGTACTTTATTTTGTGTAGTTATAATAAATAATAAAATTTTCTATCGATGTTATAAAATTCATAGTTAGATAATTATTTCATGGGGGTTGTGGTTATATAAAAATGTTGTTATTAATGGATAAGTGATATGTTAACTGGTTGTATCAAAATAACCACGGTTAATTATGTGGTTATTATGTGATGACGATTTACTTTATTGTCGTTAATAACTAACGATGAGATTGTAAGTCGTCGTTAATTTTTAGCGACGGTTGCGGTTTTTGTTGTTAATAAGGAACAACGAAATCATGTGGCGTTGTTAAATATTAACAACGAACTTTGTCGTTAAAACCAATAACGACGGAGGCTATAACAACCAATTGACGACCAAAAAAAATTGGTTGTTAAAAGAATTAACGACAAACTATTGGGCCTATAACGACGAAATTTTTCATTGCTAAAAACCCTTTTTCTAGTAGTGCACTTCACCCATAAGGAGTCCTGTTTAGAATGAATGTTCCAAAGTGTTCGGGATAGTAAGGCATTATTCCATACCTTAGTATCTCTCACCCCTAAGCCCCCCTCACTCTTAGGGAGACATACATCACACCAAGCAACTTTAGAGTGTTTACTACCCCAAAGAAACAACCTACAGAGAGAAGTGATTTTGTCAATGATTGCCCTCGGCATGGGAAAGATCCCAAGCCAGAAAGCTTGCTCTCCTTGCATAACAGATGTGATCAATTCAATCTTCCCTGCATAAGAAAGAGTCTTCGGATTCCAAGCATTTAAATAATCTGTAACTTTATCAATCAAAGGAGCGAATTGAGCTACAGATATGTTTAAAGGTGCAAGGGGAATACCCAAATACCTGACAGGAAAAGAGCCAAGTTGAAAGCCTACTCTTTCTAGAATATAAGGTACCCTACTTTCCACATTACCCCCTAAGAAAATGTTTGATTTGTCAAAATTCACCATGAGGCCTGAAACACTTCCAAAATCATTCAGTGTATCTACTAAGATTTTAATAGATGGATAACTTGCCTTAGAGAAAATCATTAAATCATCTGCATATGCAAGGTGTGTTATCTTAAGCTTGGAGCACAAAGGATGATAACGGAAACTAGGAACCGAGGTCATAATCTCCATTAGCCTCGAAAAGTACTCTAAGCAAATCACAAACAGCAAGGGGGACATAGGATCCCCCTGCCTAAGACCTCTTTTCCCCTCAAACCAGCCATGTAGGGCTCCATTAATGGAGATAGAGAATGAGGAGGTTGTGACACACTCCATGATCCATTTCACAAACAATTCAGGAAGACCAATATCCAAAAGAACTTTACCAAGAAACTCCCATGATACTGTATCATAGGCTTTCCTAAGATCTATTTTAATCATACATCTAGGAGAAGGCCTTTTCCTAGTATAACCCCTCACTAACTCTTGTGCCAGGAAGATGTTGTCAGACATCAACCTTCCATCAACAAAAGCTCCCTGTGCTGGGTTAATAATACTAGCAAGACACGGCCCTAAACGCGCAGATAAGATCTTAGTAATAACCTTATACGTGACATTTGTGCATGAAATTGGTCTAAAATCAGATACCATGGGGGAATGGTTTGTCTTGGGGATAAGGGACACAACAGTGTGATTGACCTGTTTAAGCATCTTCCCAGAGACAAAAAATTGCATCACAGCCCCACACACATCTTTTCCCACTAAATTCCAATTATTCTTAAAGAAAGCTGAAGAAAACCCATCCAGACCGGGGGCCTTATCATTTCCAATGTCAAAAACAACCTCCTTTATTTCCTTATCAGTCACCGGGCTAATAAGGTCATAAGTGAGAGTCTGGTCAATGATCTTACCAGTGGAGATAACCCCCGGATCATAATCATGCATAGGAACATTAGTACCAAATAAACCTTTAAAGAAATCAATGAACTCATTTGCTACCTGATCCAAGGATTGAGTAAGACTTCCATCCTCCAATCTCAAGGAAGCAATAGAGTTTTGAGCATTTTTCTTCTTAACAATAGAATGGAAATACTTGGTACACTTATCCGATTGTAAAATGTGGACAGCCTTGGCCTTCTGTTTGACATAGGCTTCCTCGGCCTCTTTTAGAAACATTGCCCTCTTTTTTGCATTTAAAAGATCTTCTTTTAGGGCTTCATCCAAAGGAGACAAGAGGGCTAATTGATAGATCCTCTTATACTCCTTCTTAGATACCTTTGCCCTAGATGAAATGTGGCTAAATTCTTCTTTATTGAGTTGTTTTAGGGGTTGTTTAAGTAATTTCAGTTTGCGAGCGAGCCTAAACTGAGCCGAACCAACAACCTCCCTACTCCAAACCCTCTGAAGAATCATATGAAATCTTTCATGTTTTAACCACATGTTAAAAAATTTGAACGGTTTAGATTTCTTTGTGGTTTCGGCCCCAATAGTAACCAAAGATGCAACATGATCAAACTCACATTCCATATCAAGAAAATGAGCTCTACATGCCACATTTTATGTGTTCCAAAAAGAATTTATAAGGACCCTATCCAATTTAGCCCAAATTGCTCCCCTATGCCAAGTAAAAAACTCACCGGTAGAAGGAGCATCAAAGAGAGTAGATTGTATTTTCATGTCGTTGAGGTGTTTCATTGCATAGGCCGAGGGAGGGGCAGACCCCCTCCTCTCACAAGGAGAGCCAGCACAATTGAAATCCCCCAAAAAAAACCAAGGAGCTAGGGTATTAGTGCTTAAACCGGTTAAGTGCTCCCAAAGATCCCTCCTTTGCACAATTGTGTAAAGAGCATAAACAAAGGTCACATAGAAAGGCATTTGTGTAACTTTGCATGTAAACCTAGCATGAACATGCTGTTTATCCACTTCTAATACAACACCTTCTACAAAATTAGGGTCCCAAATGATAGCCATGCGACCCCCATTCATTTTATCAAAATTGGTTATAGAATTCCATGCATTAAACCGAAACTTCAAAAAATTATCAAAGGAAGTAGGATTCATTTTAGTTTCTAGCAAGCATAAAATACGTACCTTATTGTTTCTTACAAAGCTAGCAATAGTATTTTGTTTTGAGGCTTGATTAAGCCCCCTTACATTCCAAGATGCTAAAATCATTAATGATGCTTGGTCTTGACCTCCTTCCTCCTAGCAAGCTGATTCACCTCCCTTTGTGTTTGAACCCATTCTCTATATTTCTCACAACCTTTGTACCTATTAATAAACAAAGGATAAACCAAGGTTATAAAATGAGAGGAGAAATCATACCCTTCCTCCGAGCGTGTGATTCCCGGGAGAGATTCCAAGCACGATTTAGTGAATGTGAGTCCACTTCTTGAAGCATAACCATCAATTGCGAGGTAGTTGTCAAGCCTAGTCATTGTCTCCTTGATTTCACCCCCATGGACCAAATGTATGCAATGACCTCCATCTTCCTCAAAGTCAATCTTGGTTATCACATCATCATGATATGCCTCACGGATATCATCAACCACACGGGTTACATTTGTGTTGATCTTTCGTGTATCCAACACTTTGCTCCCATTACCCATTGGAATGCCATCCTCGAAGTATCTATCAAGAAAGAGCCTATAGACATTTGTCATGAAAGCATCCGAGAATGTGTAGAACTTCCTTTGCCTTTTTACCCCTTCTAGAGACTCCAAGCAAGCTGTAGTGAACCACACACCGGGAGCCTTAGGTCCAACCACCTTTAGATGATGGTTAAGCCGAATGGTAGGTTCATTAAGTTTGTTGATATGCTTGACCTCAATTTTTGGTTCACGGGCCTCATCCACAATCATTGATGTTATAGCTTCATCATCAAAGATATCTTTGAAACCTCTAATTTTCCTTGGGACCTCTTCTTCCTCTTCGTGTTGTGTAGTGTACCCGGATGATACCTCCTCTTCTTGTATTTGAGGCCCTTTCTTCTTTATTCCCACTCTAACTTTCTTTGTCCTCTTAACCAAGAGGAAAGGATGGTATTCCTTTCTTATCAAGTTGTCGGTTTTGGATTCCACTTTCTTTCCCTTTTGAGATGCCGCGGCATTAGAGTTGGAGGCCGCGGCAGTGTATGATGTCTCCCCCTTGGATGCCCCCTGCCCTGTGTGTTTCATTTGTGCCGCGACATGAGAAGATTTCTTCCCTTTGTTGGTTTGTGGCGCGGCATTGATAGGTCTCTTGCCCTCCTTGATCGAATGGCGTGTCTCCTCCTTTGATTTGGCAGCCTCCCCCTCTTTTTTATTTCCGGCCAATGGAGGTAGATCATCCCCTTCCTCCATAACCTTCTTCTTTGCATCCCTCTCCTTTTGTTCAAGCTCGGCAATAGTTTTGCAAGTGAAAGCATGATGGCCGTATGCTTTACAATGAAAACAGTAGTTAGGGAAAGTTTCGTAGATAACCTTTTGAATATGGAATCTTTGAGATGGCATCTTCACTTTAAGCCGTAGGGGTGGAGGTTTTGAAGCATCCACCTCAATGAGAACTCTTGCATAGTTGGATCTAGCTTTTTCTTGAGTAATTCTATCCGTAGTTAGCGGCACTCCCACCCTTGAGGCTATTTCACTAATAACCTCTTCATCCCAAACTTGCAACGGTAAGAATGGAAATTTCACCCAAATTGGGACTTTTAGGAACTCCTCACTATCAAAGGAGAAGTTTTCCGAAAGAGTCTTAAGGTAAAGAGACTTTCCAAATAAAGAATAGGGCCCTTCCATCAAGACTTTGGTTCTAGCTTCATCACTCTTGAACTTGAAGATAACCCATCCTCTATCATGTTGCCTAACATGGCATTGGACCCCCCATTTAGCAACCATATCTTGTATGGGCTTAATCCCGGGGAACCTACCA